ATGAAGACAACTAGGATAGTCACTAATCTGATTAAATAGGAAGACCCATTCAGACACACTCTCCACTATTGCTAGAAGTCTTCACTTGTATTATCCTTGTGGATTCCCAAGAATTTCTCTAACACCAGGTTTCTCCCTAACCCCATAATGGCTCCTTCTACCAAGGTATCTCTTTCATTGCTCTTCCCCTCTGTCCCTCCCCCAATTCAGTCTTCTTGATCCTTCATATTCCCATCCCCCATCGCCCATCCCCTCCCTTCCACTCCCCACTTCCAGTTTACCCAGGAGATTTTAACTCTTTTCCCTTCCTAGGGCCTTCCATGTGTGTCCATCCCAAGGTACCCCTTTTTACCTAGTTTTTGGGTTTTTGGGTTTTTTTTTTTTTTTTTGGATTATTGGTTGTAGCCTCGTTATCCTTTACATCTAATATCCTTATTTCAATTCAATTCATTACTGCAACCCAAAAAATGATGGTGGAGTTTGAAGTTATCACTTCTTAAAATAAAGGGTGAGTAGTGGCCTATTTCTCATACTTCTTTGTCTATGTGCCTGTTATTGGAGTTAAGATTAGTTTGGAGTGGGTGTCCCTGGCAGCTCTAAGAAGCCAGGTTCAGTTACACATACTCAATACACCAAATAGTGCCAAATTAATAGAAAAAAAAACAAAAACAACAAGAAAGGAAATTTATTACAATGTAGTCACATTAGGAAGAAGAACAAAGAGATCAATGATCACTATGTCTATTTTCAAGGTCCTGACATGAGACTGGAGTTTATGAAGGCCAGAATTAAGCATAATCCAGCACTCAGCATGTGGTCCTTCCCATCTTTAATCCACAGTCCTCTTGGCTTTTGTCTCTCCTGTAAGGTGGGGTGGTCTGAAGACTTGTCAAAATTCTGTGAAATTCCTTTGTATGAGGCAACTTCATCCTCTGGCAGGCAGGTTTACATGAGAGGAGAGATGAAGAGAGCATTGGTCCTAAGGTGAGACATGTCTGTTGTCACAGGGAATTACTAGCCAGTGAGGATACTGGTTGTGTCTGATTGCTCAGTGTCTTCCAACAGCTCCTCTTGAGAACTAGTTCCTCTAGAAAGGACTCTGCAAGAGCCTCCATCAAACCATGGCATTAGTTGCACATTTAGGCCCTCAGAATCTTGTTACTGGGGCCTTCCATTTTAGGGATTAAATGCTCATGTGTAGGGATAAATGACAGGTCAGTCTTCTCAGAAGTGAGGTGGAACCACATCACATTGTCCTACCACTGAGAGGCTCACAGTTTCCTCCCATTCTTTTTTTTTTTAATCTTTGATGTGTATCACGATTTGGTTTTTATTTATTTACCCACTTTATTTTCTAATTTTGAGATTATAATATGATTACAATATTTCTCCCTTCCCCTTCCTCCCTCCAAACCCTCCTATATATGCCTTCAAGCTCTCCTTCAAATTCATGACCTCTTTTATCATTGTTAATGCATGCATATATGTATATTCATATACATATATATTCCTAAATATAACCTATTCAGTCTGTATAATGCTACTTGTATGCATGTTTTCAGGACTGACCAATTGGTACTGGACAACCAGTTGGTGTGTTCATCCCTAGGGAAGACCACTTCTTCTACTCCCAGCTTTGCTCAGTTGCCTATAGTTCTTTGTGTAGGGCTGAGGCCTCCCATTTCTATTTTCCTTATGTGTGGTGATATATTGTTTATGATTTATTAAAGCTTGCCTGAGGATTAAGAAAGCCAAGTCAGCCACAAGCCATAGAAGCCAGGCACACATCTTTAATCCCAGCAGCCAGAAGCTAGGTGGTGATAACACACAACTTTAATCCTAAAACTCGGGATTAAGAGGTAGTCCAAGGCCACCCAGATCTACAAAAGACTGATCCAGCCCTAAAGATGATCTCAGCATCTGGGATTACAGGCCTTTAATCCCAGCATTAGGGAGGTATATAAAACAGGAGTAAGGAGTCAGTATCAGGCATTTATTCTCCGGGCACATTGAGGATAGGAAGCCATTCAGTCTCATGATTCTCCAGTGACACTGAGCTGTGGCAGCAGGATCAGCCTGAGGTAGTGGTACAAGCTAGTGGCTGCTACTTTCCTTTTCTGACCTTCCCCTTGAAGTTTGAACCCCAATATCAATTTCTGGATCTTTCATATTTTGTGTTACACTCATGACTCAGCAAAATCAGACACTTGGTATTTAGCACTGAATTGCTCCTAGAACTATGTAGAACTATGAATGGTGTTTTTTGTTTGGTTGGTTGGTTGGTTGGTTGGTTGATTTTTTTTTTTTTTTTTTTTTTTTTTTTTTTTGGTCTGGTTGTTTGTTTTGAGGCAGGGTTTCCCTGTGCAACCCTGGCTTGACTGTTCTGGAACCCTCTGTATAGACTGGACTGGCTTCAAATTCAGGAATTCACCTGTTTCTGCCTCCTAAGTGCTGAGATTAAAGGTGTGTGCTGACATTGCCCAGCCTGGGAATGATTCTAGTTCTCCTCCTCCTTCTTGTTTGTTTTGTTTTATTTTTGAAACACAATGTCCCTGTGTAACAGTCCTGGCTGCCTGGAACTCAATCTATAGACCAGGCTGACTTTGAACTCAGAGTGATCCACCTGTCTCTGCCTCCGAGTGCTAGAAGGATTAAGGGCATGAACCACAACCACCTGCTTGAAATTGATTCTTATGCCTGACTTGAGTAGTGTCTTACTCAGGGAAACTGAGGGAAATTAAGCATCCTTCCTCACAAAGGTCGGAAGGGCAATCTCACAGGCACAGTGGGGTGAGGGGATGCTTTTCGTTTTGTGAGTGAGGTCAGAGGTCACCCAAGGGTGGTCAGCTTCCTTTTACCACCCTATTCCTCTTTAGGCAGGAAAGGTAACACTGCCAATGAAGGGCCTCCTCTTTGCAGGCCCAGTGGTAGCAGCATTGGAGTCTTCCTTCAGATTCAGAACCTCTTAGGCCTGGAAGCTGGCTCCACTCCTGTGCAAGTGGACCAAAGAGAATGCCAGAAAAGCCTCTAATGAAGTTCAACACACACATTCCCGATTTAAAAGAAAACAATGTACCTGGGGTTAGGATTATAGCTCAGTGGCTGAGTGCCTACCTAGTATAAGCAACCCAGGATTTGCTTACAAAAATAACTAAAAACAAACCTTAGCAAACCAAGAGAAAAAAAGCAGGGAGCTTCTCTACCTTAGTCCAAAGTATCTCTTAGAAACCTAAAACATAAAAATTAGAAAAAGTCAACACTTTTTCTAAGTGTTGGCTTTCACTATGACATTTTCATACAGGCATAATTTGTACTTTGCTATGCTATCATCTTGTCTCTTGGTCTCTCTTCCCTCTGGTCCCTTTCTTCTTCTAAATTCTCTATCTTATTTCATGGGTGTGTGTGTGTGTGTGTGTGTGTGTGTGTGTGTGTGTATGTGTGTGTGTGTTAAATATAGTTTTTTTTTACATAAAAAGTGACTTTTTTTCTGAGTCTGATTTATTTTACCCAATGTGTTTATCTCACGTCCATCAGTTAACCTTGCAGATGACATAATTCTGTTGCTCTTTGTGTTAGAGTACAACTCAATTTTGGGCATATGCCACAATTTCTTTGTCTATTTATTCATCTGTTGATGAACACTGAGGCTGATCCCATAATTTAGCTATTGTGAATATTTATACAATAGGTGTAGATATGCAAATATCAGGCATATATGCAGGAAAAATGTAACAATGAATTTTCAGTGGTCAAATATTAGAAGTTTTCCTAGGACACATTAGAAGAATATACTCATATATATGTTTGATATGCTCCAGTGGATGCCCCACATCCATGCACCCTTGACCAGCACTAAATGAAAATGAATTTAGTGGTTTAAGAAGAGGAGGAGGTTTTAAAAGAAGAGGAGGGGGGACATGAGGTTTAGAGGAAGATGTTTAGGGGAGACCAAGAATTGAAAGACAGAAATGAGGATGGGTGTGATCATATTTTATCATGTACACATATGAGATTCTAAAACTATATGTATGTATAAATCATATATGTAATTGCATATGTGAACAAGAAAAATACCATCATATGTAAATGCAATGATATATGTACAAAACATATAAGAGTCACCTGTATTGAAAGTACTAAGAAAAAGAATCTAATTATGCTTTCCCTGAAACCAGAAATATCTCACTAAAACTCTGTCCAAAAACAATATAGTAACAATAACAACTAATGGAATAAAAATTAGACCTCATAGGAAAGTCGAGCAATGTCAACTTTTAGAGCTTTAGACTGTTGGTCTATAAAACTGGGAATATATGTTTCTTTCCCTTGCTTTTTGAAGTCAGGAAACCTTCAACAGCTTTGAGTCCTAAGCACACAGAGAAGATGGATCAGATTAGCAGTTGATGTTCATGGTGCTGTAAGCAACATTGCTCCATCTGGCCTTGTCCTGGGCTTCCTTTTGTGCAAGAAAATACGGAAATGCAGGGCCAGTGTCAGAAGGTGGGAGCACAGGAGCTTTCTAGAGATGTGATGTATGGGTGCTGTCCCCTCAAGGAATAGTTACACCACCATAGACACCTGGAGTGTGGATCATGCTCCCGTTCCACATAGCTGATACTAGAGTGAGTCACATAATCCCTTTCTTGAGACTGGGAAGACTCACAGAAACCTGCAACTTGTATCCAACCTTTACCCCCAGCACATCAGAAACCATCCAGATGGCTGAAAAGTGATGGAAAAGATGGTGTCCCTTCCCACCATGGACCACATGGGCTCAGACCTAGAGATATCTTGACACCAGACATCAGCATTAATGTTGTGTTCATCCAGATAACTCTTTAGAGCCAATGCCCCTAATTTGGTTCCATAAAATCATGTAAAGATTAAATTATACATGATAAGAAATGCTATCAGTGATTGTCAAAGTACTTGGTATGCAGCTTGTGATCAACAATCTTTGCTGTAGTAATTGATATGGGTAATAATTTTGGTAGGTAGAGTACTTGTAATAATTACTTTATTTCCATCACATAGATGAAGAAATAAGCTCAAAGAAAACAGTTATTCGCAGGGCTCACCAGAAGACAACCTAGCATGTGGAACACAGTTGATTTTAACAAAATAGCTGATTGAGCTAATGAGGGGAGAAACAAATGCAGTTAGTGATGAGCATGCCTCAGTGATATGAAGTGGAGTGGGGCTGTGGCCATTAGCAGAAAATAACCAGAGTTAGGGTCTAGGGTGGAAGGGTGGTTCTCCTGGATGGCTGCAGTTAGATCGAGAGGCTAAACTGGCACCTCCAGATCCAAGGGATGGGGCTATACATTGTCAACAAGGGAAGGTGTGAAACACCAGTACTATGCTGTGGCACTCCCTGACTTCTGCAAGACCATGTTTGCCTTGAAAGCATGAGTGGAGATGACACTGAATGTAGCCTAGTTCCACTCACTAGACATTTCCTGGAAGTCCCCTATGTCTATCTTTATGTTTAACCTGGACTTCTAAATCTTGAGGCAGTGAAAAGGTGAGCCGCAGGGCAGGGGAGCAGGCACTTCTGTGTAATTTACAGGGTCCTTCCATGCTGAGACCTCATATACACCATTTATAAATGAAGAAACTAGGCAAGATGAGGAAAAAGGAAGTCTCCATCTCATAGTGAAGGGCAAGGTTGGCAGTGGCTGCCTTGAATGAATGCTCAGAAGGGACTCTAGGGGCTTTCGGGAGGTACTACTGTGTATGGAGAAGAGTTTAGGGCTCATATGGGAGATGGAATGACTAAGAATGGTGCTAATTCTAATAGTCACAAAGAAATTTGGTTGGAGGGAGTTGCAGCATCCTATAGATCAGATGAATCATCAGGATAGAGGATAAAGGACAATGTGTGATTTTATTTGTTTATCTAAGTGCTTGATCAAAATTCACAAATGGCCAGCCGGTACTGCAGGCAAGTCTTGTCATTCCACTGTCCATTTGTATACATTTCTACACACTTCTCTTTGCCTCTGCCCCTGGGCTCCCCTGGGTACCAGTTGGTGTAGTTCACAGAAGCCCCATCCAGGTATCGGAAGTCTCCAGGGGTCTGGTCTTCAACCATGCCCAAATAGGCATAGGTGTTGTGCTTATTCACGATACTTGAGATGGCCTTGTTCTCCTCTGGATTCCTTGGGACAGCAACGTTGCCACCTGCTCTGGTACACGTCTCTCTAATGGTATCAAAGTTGACTGATTGCCCATTGGTGGAAAAGACTTTCTCTCCCACTGACAACATGGATCCATGTAAGCTAAGGACTGAGCAGAGGAGCCTGGGTTAGGCCACTGTCATCTGATTGTCCATCCCCTCCATTGACTTAGGTTCTTGCCCTTAAGCTTTCTCCATAATCTCTCCATCCCTTCCTTCCTCTATGTTTGTCCTTCTTCGAGGCCTAGTTTCAAAATCCATCCCTGTGTTCTCATATACCAAACAAACACTTATTGCCTGAATCTGCAGTTTCATGCTTTCCAATAATTCTGAGAGCACATCCAAGCCCACTTCTGTGTCCTTGAGGTTATTTAAAGACAGGAGAAAAGTAAAGCACCCTTCCTTTCTCCAAAACTTACTTGTCAGACTTTTAGACTGTGGATTATGGTACCAGAGATTACAGGGAAACATTGAGAGGTCTGTGCTTGGTGACACCCCAAACAGTTCCCTTACCTCCCATGATTTGCAGAATCTTATGTCTGATCTCTTGGAGTTCAGTCTGAAGTTCCTCATCCAGGTAAGCTGGAAACCCTGTGGAGATCCCACACATCCAGAATGGGGCGAGCCAGCAAAGAGCTTCACTTGCTACCAAGCAGGTATTCTGCCAGCTACAAGACTGGAGTTTTGTCATCTAATGCTGTTCCCAGAGTCCAGGCCCTAGTTAAATGGTCCAGGACCAGAGCTTCCATACACCTACACACCCATTTCTTAATGTAGCCTTGAGGCTGCTCTACTTTCCTATATCCATTGGCTGCCCCTTCATGTCCATCTGTGTGGTTTTCTGACTTATGAGAACGACCCCATCCCATTCACTCTACCAAGACCAACAATGATGATCTCTGAACTCTCCTAATGGGTCACTGTATTGATCCGTACCCTTCTGTCAGCAAATGGGATTCCTGATCACACAATTTGCCAGATTGCAAGTCTACATTACCCTGCATACCTTGTAAGATGCCCCAGAACATTATCCCTTAAAGGACCCATAGGCCTCCCAGTGCTGCTCCCCTTCTCCTATAGGACACAATGTGTCTCTCTGTCTGCAGCCATGATGCTTAGCAGTCTCTGAAACATGTTATTCAAACCCCTATGGTTTCTCTCATCAGCTTCCTATTTTCTGACTTAGGTTGAGAAATATGCCTTGGACCCTTCCTACCATCCCTCATATAGCTGCCATGCTGTTCCACATCACCACTGACTACTGCCCCCACCTGGAAGACCCCTCTCTCCAGGCTCTCCTTTGTCTCCATGTTCTCCAGGCGCACCAGGAGCTCCAGGCAACCCATCACGTCCAGGAAGACCTGGCATGCCTCCAGGAGGGCCCATGGGACCTACAGAGTAAAAAGGACACAGATATATGGACCTGCATTAGTATGCGGGTGACTCACTTGCTTCTCCACCAGAACTTTTTAGATACGTGCTCTAGCCTAAGGACTCCAGAAAAGTCCCATCAGCTAGTGCCCTGGATAGAATGGCTCTCTTGAAAACAGGTTGCTATCTCCAAGCTAAGAGTGGGTTCTTCCATACTGTACCTGGAGGTCCAGGGTCTCCTTTAATACCATCTCTCCCATCTCTGCCGGGAAGGCCATGGATTCCAGGAGTGCCGGGGATACCAGGGCTTCCGGCACACATTTCTGTCCCATTGCACTTGATACCAGCAACAACAGTCAAGAAGAGGGTGAAGGCCAAAGGACAGAGTGACATGGCTACTGCACCAGCAGCTTCTCCTGCAGGAGGGAAGGGTTACCAGCCTGTCTGTAGTGTTAGCATGGCTTTTTTCTGCCTTCTGTCCCATTCTTGCTACATTTCCCAGGATCCAGGAACATGACAGACAGGAAAGTTCAGTCAAAAGTATCAAGAAGACCCAAACTATGCCCAGTCAGAAATCCCAGCACCATCCGATGTCTAACACAGTCTCACACTTCAGCCCTCCAGCTTCAGACAATCCCTGATAAGAGGAGGAGAGCTCAAGAGAATCAGAAACTTGAGTCTTCACAGAGAGCCTTTGCTGTTTGTTATAACCTCACTGTGTAGCCCTAACAGACTCCCTGTACCTTAGCTGACTCTGGTGTGCTCTATAGATAATCCTAATAAGGTTGTCTGCTAGAAAGTGTATGCAGAAGAAATAAACTCACCATTTTCCTCCATCTGTCCCTCAATAGTTTAAGTAACTCTATTGTGGGTTCTCATGAATCAGAGAGCCATGGATAAACAGAGATGAGCATGGTTCATGGTCCTGCTAAAATGTAAGCCGAAAGCAGTACCTTCCTGCCCAGTTAGCCCTTAATTAGGTATGTGAATCTTACCTCCAGAAACCCAAACACCACAGGATACCCAAGGGCTGGTGGCCTAGCTCAGCTCACTCGCACACAGAGCTTGCAGGTTGTGTGGATGTCTGCCTCCAACTCAGAGTGGACATGTCATCAGCATCACTTATAGCCCTGTGGACTGCAAGTTTTCCCCACCCTCTGTGCCCCTATCATAAGGGAGGGCCTGGCAGGAAGCAGCCATCTTGTTTACACAGCTCAGTTTCCTTCAGAGCACTTCACAAGAAAAGCACTTAGAACCCTTGAGGGGTACAGAATCTGCAGAAGTCAAACCGCAGTTGTGTAGGAGGGGAATCTTTCTCTTGTCAAAGTCACACTTTTATTCTGAGTTAACACTATTGGCTAACAATATAGAATGAAAGCCTTTACCCAGGTTCTGATGAAGATCCACAACCACTCAGAAAAGAAAAACATCAGCAGAACAAACCAGATACGGAAATATGAGAAAGTCTGGCCACTCTACCACCTGCCAATGACCACAGAAAAGAAAAGAGGAAAGTATGAAGTTGAAAATGAATAAAGGCATCAGGAATAAACAGCAAGGAGAGTAAATAAAGGAAGATCAGGGGAAAGAAAAATGAAGCCAGGTTAAATAAAAGAATGTGGGGCGGGGGGAGAAAGAAGAGGAGAGAAGAAGAAGGAAACAGATCAAGAAAAAAAAATCTATTTACAAAATGAAAGCCACACAAAATTACATAGAGGGAAGAAGGGGGATGAAAGAATTTAAAAATGTTTTTCCAGAATAAAATAAAGTGCAAAGCAGGGGCTGAAAGGTGTGGCTCAGTGGCTGAAGTGCTTGCTGTGCAAAGTGCAAGGGCCTGAGATTGCAGCCCCAGAACAGCACCAAGGAGGGCCCAGTGGCACTTTGTAGTCACAGCTCGTCCTCTGTCCAGATGGAAAGTGGATACAGGAGAAGCCGCTGAATCTCACTAGTCAGCTAGCCTGGGGTGCACAGTAGCAACCCAGACCCTGTATGAAACAAGGCAGAAGGCGAGGATTGACACTTGTGTTGTCCCCATACATGTGCAGCCCTACATGCATGTTCACATTCACACACATGCAAAGAAGATACAGAAACAGCTATTCACACATTAAAAGAGATTCTACACCTTGTCAAGCATAGAAATACAAGGTAATACTATAACAAGCAAAAAGAAACAGTGGTCTTGGAAGACACCTTGGCAGCTCCTCGGAATATTAAACAAGTAATTATTCTTATGCTGCAGCAATTCAATCCCTAGCTTAATGCCTAAAATAAATGGGAATAGCTATTCCAAAACTTGTACACAGCTGTTCCAATAAAAAGGTATAAACAGCCCCAGTATTTATTCATGACTCACTGATGAGCAAACAAAATGTGATGGCATATTATTTGGCCATAAGAAAGAATGGATGAAGGATATGTGCTATGATATGGATAAACCTTAAAAGCATTTTGCCAAATGAAAGGCACAAAAAACAATATATTGAATTATTCTAATTATATTAAATGTTGAAAGTAGGCAAATCATTGCTAGGAACAGAGAAACTGAGAGTGACTGTTTAATATAGGGTTTCTTTGGGGGAAAGACAAAAATGTTCTGGAATTAACTTTGGAAGTCAGTTTCTCAGAAAATTGGGAATCAATGTACCCCAAGACCCAGCTATACCACTCCTGGTTATATAGCCAAAGGATGCTCAACCATACCACAAGGGCACTTGCTGAACTATGTTCATAGCAGCTTTATTCATAAAAGCCAGTACTAGAAACAACCCCAGTGTCCCTCAGTTGAAGAATGGATAAAGAAAATGTGGTACATTTATACAATGGAGTACTACTCAGCTCTGAAAAATAATGGCATCATAAAATTTGAAGGCAAATGGATGGAACTAGAAAAAAATCATACTAAGCGAGGTAACCCAGACCCAGAAAGATAAACATAGAATATACTCACTGTATATTAGCTGTAAAGGATAACCAAGCTACAATTTATAAACCAAGTAAGGCTAGGTAACAAGGAGGGCCCAAAAAGGAACATATGGATGGCCTGGGAGAGGGTGACGATGGGAACATGAGGGATAGGGTTGGATGTGAGTGGAGGAAGGGAGTACTGAAAGAAATGACTGGAAAGGGGGAGGGGTTTCTCAGATTCAGATAGAAACCTGGTACAAGAGGAACTCACAGGAATCTGTAAGAGTGACCGCGGCTAAGACTCCTAGCTTGCTGCTGCTGTGTTCTTACTGTATTTGCCGTGGAGTGGTTACTCTGTGACAGGGTCCCATTGTGTCTAGTATAGTGCGATCGTTTCTTGAGAAAATCCCACTCCTCACTGTGCAGTTTACTCACAGATCATAATGAAGATGATTTTTATAGGAACAATGATGAGATCTATGATTTAACTGGACTTTCTGAGTTAGTCTACAAGTTACAGGTGGTTAGGGCAGTTAATAAAGATGATTAGGGACATGATTCAGGTTATTCTGCCAATTGTTCCAGTAAGAGATTTAAAAAAAAAAAAGGCAAAAAGAATAGACTAGAAGTTATCTTCCCTTTTGTTAGATATGAGTTTTGCAGAGGATGTAAAAGAAGATCAAGGAAGTTTCATGTATTATAGACCCATGGATTCTGCCTGTGGACAAATATGCTGACAATCAAAGAAAGCAATTATGTCCCTACACCCAAGGTTAGGCCCCAGTCCCTTGGCCATGTAACTTACAGAATTAATCAGAGGCCCCGGTATACACCTTGAAAAAAAAATAAATTCATAAAAGGAAATTCAATGATCCTGTCGTGAGTAAAGAAACATGGTGAACTGACCACTCATTGAAGTTTCTCTGAAGTAAAAAATAGAAATTGGTTACACTGAAATGGCAAATAGCTGACCACCGTTACCAAAGGAACTGGCTGAAATATACTTAGTTTGCTTAAAACTTTGCTAATCAAGTACAAAAGAATCATTGCTTTGGTGTGAAGACATTATGGTGGGAAAATTAATACAAAGAAAAATGTTCAACTACTTGTGGACTTCTGGGGAAAGCATGTGACTTGTAACCTAAATGTGATTTTTTTTTCCCCTGTGTAAAGATTTTAGTTTGCTTTTGGAAAATATGTAACTTGTGGTTATGAGGTAATCTTTTCGTGCTTACAAATCCTTGCTCTGGGTGGTATAAAAGGAATAAGAGAAAAATAAAAGGTTTAGTAAAAGGGATAAAATCAGATGTAGAAGGACTACAACTGCAAAGTAAAACAACAGGGCAAAAGAACAGAACAGAGTAGGAAGGACAACCCTCAGAGAGAAAAATAAAATGAAGAATTTAGCTTTAGCCCCCAGATAAATGTGTGTCTGTGCATCTATTCCAATAGTTCCCCTATCCACATCTCCTCTCCACTCTCGCTGACCTGCTGAGAGCCTGCTGAGACTAAGGGGTGGAGGCTGGGGCCCCTGGCTGCAGTAGCCTACCAATGACTGGTCCAATCTGAGATCCAAGCCAGGAGAGTGAGCCCACCACGGATGCTGCCTGGGGTACTAGGACCCAGAGGCTGTATGACCCAGAGAAATAAGATAGAACGAAGCACGATTGGAAAGAAAAAATGTCAGCACAATAATGCCTTATGACATTCTGCTATACTTATAGATTGGTGACTATCCAATTGTCATCAGAGAGCTTTCATCTAGTAACTGATGGAAACAGATGCAGAGACCCAGAGCCAAACATTAAGCCAAACTCAGGAAATCCTGCTGATCCCTGAAGACAGGGAAGAAGGATTATATAAGCTAAAGGGTTCAAAAACAATACAAGAAAAACCACAGAAACCACTAACCTGGGCCCATAGGAGCTCACAAAGACTGAACCAAAAACCAGGGAGCCTGCATGGATCTGATCTAGACTCTCTAATATATGTGGCACTTGTGTAGCTTGATCTAATTGTGGGATTCCTAACAGTGGGATCAGGGGTTGTCCCTAACACTTTGGCTGGCTTTTGGGAACCTATTCCTCATACTGGGTTGCCTTGCCCAGCCTCAGTACAAGGGAGGTGCTTTGTCTTACCACAACTTGATATGTCATTGGGTAGCCTGCCCTTTTTGAAACAGAAACAGACGAAGGGTGGATTGGAAGAGGGAGGTGGCAAGAGGGGATAGAGGGAGGAGGAAGGGAGGAGAAAATTGGGCCAGGGTGTAAAATACATAAATAAACAATAAAAAATATTCAGGAATTAGATAATGGTAGTGACACAAGTAGGACTTTAATTCCAAATGATGAAATTCATAAAAATGTATATTAATCCATTTTTGTTTCTATAAAAAAAAATATTTGATTCCAGATAATGCATTTAAAAAGATGTTTATTTGGTTAAGCAATATCTTACCTATTGTGGCAACTCATACATATAATCCTAGTGCCTGGAAGGCTGACACCTTAGCTCTATGGGAAGTTCAAGGGAAGCCCAGACTACAGAATAAGTTCCTGACTCAACAAGCAAGCAAGCATACAAAGAACCCACTAACAAAAATGTTTACTTATTAGCAGCCTCTTTAGATGTCAAAGGACTAAATATTTCTGTTAAAATAGATGTTGCCTGGCGGCACAGGCCTATAGCTCTAGTTACCTAGCTGTCTGAGACAGGGGGATTGCAAATTCAAAGTTTGCTTAGGCTACAGGGTGAGTTTCAAGACCACCCTAGACAACTTAGTGGGAGAGTACCTGGAAAAAATAGGAAAAGCGAAAAGAAGGGTGCTGAGTACATAAGTCTGGTGGGCACTTACCTGCGTGGCCACCTCCAGAGGAAGCAAGAACCCAGCACAGAGTCACTGTGTCCTTTGATGTCCTTCTCCGGGAGTAACACAATGGCACTGTTTCTATCATGGGGTCCCTGGCCACCCTCAAGTTGACTGTGGTCACGGTGGTCATGGCAGTGCTGGACTGGGGGTTATAAAGTTCTAGGATGCCACAGCATTTGCCACCAAGGGGATATGGGCTGGTATCCTTAAGCAGAAATACCCAGAGCCCCCATAAAGACTTGTTTTCAAAGTCTGTGGCTCTCTCCTACTTCAGACCCTAAAATAACTGTTCTAATATCAATAGATCCTAATGCCAGCTGCTATTTCTAAC